AGGAATAATCTCATTTAGCCTCATACTAAATCAATGAAGTAGGGGCTATGTCACCTCCATATATGTTATGGATTAACTGGTAGATGATAATTAAGAGATTTGCTGATTGTCACAGAAAGTGAAAGTGATGAGATTTGAATTCATGCTATCTATGTCCAAAGTCCATATGTTTAATCATCACATCTAAATCTCTCCTATTTTGTAAGCAGCAGGGCCCCATTTGGAATCCATTGATTTTCTCTCATTCCATGACAAATTTTGAGAATACATTTAACTCTTCTTCATTTCTATTATTTGAATAGAGAAAATGTTGATTTTCCTAATTTAATTTTGCCACTTATAGACTAAAATTTAGCCCCTCAACCATCCATTTTTTCTCCTTCATTACTAACTTCTTTTCATAAGAATTTAGTCATGGTCAAATATATCTAGGCTTAAAGAATAAAGAAACAACAAATCCACAACAAAGATCTCCCCTCAGTTACCACTTTAATTCTTTACTTGACACCAAAGCTTATTATTATATAATAATAATAATTTGAAAATTATCTCAATTTTATATATGCAGTTTACTCTGGTGGCCACTACTATACTCCCTGTCTCCTGAAAACAATTCAACTCTTCCGCACTATATCATCCATAAGAATTTTTTTTTCTTTTTTTCTTGATATTTTGCAGTATTTCCTGCTTGGTATACTCTTTCATATCTATTCATATTGGTGCACTCCATTTTTTTCAACTACTCTTCCTCATGTCTTCTCATAGAACATCTTTTTTCACTCTCAATACTCTCCTCCATATAGTCATTCCTTAGAAATCATCCCTTACTTCTCTTCCCCAGCTCTGTTATCCCTAAGCAAATATACTGTGCTCTATTTATTTAGTCATTAAAACACCCTAAATTTTGCACATGGAAACATGATGCAGACTTAGTCAAAATCTAGATGTCTGTAGTTCATAACACCAGTTTTCCCCAAATCTAGACAATTGCAATATACTTTAAGACAATTACTTAATTTTCCCTAATTTCCCTATCTGCCACCCCCCTACACTATAATCACTTAAATATAGGCCATGTCCATTTTCATTTGGATTATAATAACTATTTACTAATTGATACACTTGATTAAAGCCTGACCTCCAATTCCCATCACATGCATGTAGTGATCTTCCTATAGTTTATATCTGATTATGATTACTTCCCTGTACAAACATTTCTTTGAACCTACATTACATTTAAGACTACACCCACACTCATTAATATGACATCTAAGTTTTCCGTGACCTTGTTCTTGTGAACTCTCTACTCCTAGCTCATCATACTTTGCAAATTAATGAACTACTGTCTTAATGAATTATCTCTAATACTTAGAAATAGTTCAGTACATTTTAGTCAAAGAGTTGTTGTTGTTTTAATATTGTTGCTTCTGCCAGGAGCATTATTTTATTCCCTCTACTTATAAGCTCATATTTTCATTCACATTTATTCTTCCTTTGGAAACCTTGCTTAAGACTCCAAGGTACATGTCCATCTTGCATGTTCCCAGAGCACTCTGTTAACTAGCACTTAGAGACATGTTAAGTAATGTCCTGTTTGCTTGTCTCTATTAACCAATATGTTTAATTTTATGAATCAAGGACTATATCTTACTTTAACACTAAACATTTAGACATTTTCAGTTAATGTTTAGTTAGAAAATTAAAATCATATATTCATTTTTATAAAAATAATGTTTTTGTGTATGTTTTTATTTTGACATATTCCAAATTCTACTATAGATCTAGTTTATATTATTCTCTTTTGCACAAGTTTAGTTGTATTCCTAAGATTACAATATTGCCAGAATTCAGTCCTGTAGGGTTGAAAGTCTGATGGTTATATTTATAGAAATCTGAAAGTTGAGGGAAGTAAGAATTGAGACAAATGTTAGAGATGACTAAAATTGTCTCACAATTTTGAGTTTGTGGAACTATCAAAGTATTTGGAAAGCAATTTCTGGTAGGTAATAGAATTTAAAAGCCTGGAGCTTAGGAGAGAAGGCAGAGCTGAAGATCTAAAATTAATCTGCATAGAGTTAATATAAAAACCTGAGGTTTTGATGATATGGTTAAATAAGATGACTGAGAAAAATGAGGACAGTGAACCATAACCTGAGTTTCCTCCCCCATCATACTTAAGGTATGGAAATGAATAGGAGCAATGGAAGCAAAGAAGTCACAAAATTTGTAAGGAGAATTAGAAATACAAAACACAAGAGAGGGACATTTTAAAGAGAATTGGTATTTATAATATATATGGTGAAATGTCAGTAGGGCATCTTCTGAAAACTAATTTTAATTTTTGGTATTCAGCAGGCCATACATGAATTTTTGGTCAGAAAATTGTCTGCAAAGTCATAATTTGTCTTAAATTACTAAGGGAATGTTTATTTATTAAACAATGACTATGTGAAGGTTCCTACTGACACACTGTAAAGATTATAAACTCATGTATTCCCTAACTTAGTGTAGTTCATAATGTATTAGAGAAACAAGCATAATAACTCTTACTAAATCCTACCAAAGTATTGTACAGGTATGTGAGGCCTAAGGATGGCTGTGTATTTTAAGAAGTGTAGACAATTTCTTGACAATTTTATTGGGTAAACATCATACATGTAGATTCAAAAAGCTAGATAGTATAGCCTACTACACACCTAAGCTATGTGGTGGAGCCTCAGCCTCTGGATTACAAACCTCTAAGCATGTTATTGAAGGCAATTATAACTCAACAGCATTCATGTGTTTAACCTAATCTAGACATAGAACAAAGTACAGTAAAAATAATGCTCTGAATGTTTTTTTTTTTTTTTTTAATGGCATGCTTGTATAGGGTATTATAGCATGACTGAATTTGCAGGAATAGAAGTTGCTCTGGGTGAGTTAGAGAGTGAGTAGTGTGTGAATATGAAGGCCTAGAATATTAATGACCCTACTGTAGATATTATAAGCCTGTACATTTAGGGTAAAGTAAGTGTATAACAATATTTTTCTTCAATAATAAATTAATCTTAGCTTACTGTAACTTTTTTTTTTACTTTATTAACTGATTTTTTTTTTTAACTTTTGAATTGAACTGTCATAAAAATTATTTTATTTTAAAATCTTGATTCTGGGCCTCACTGGTGGTGCAGGCAGTTGAGTGCAGGCCTGTGAAGCTGTCCACAGCCTCTGCATTGCGGGTTCCATCCTGTCCAGCAGCGGAGATAGCCACATTGTGCGGCAGACCTCTCCCACCTTGCCTGCTGCTTCCCTCATCAGTGTATTTCAGTCAGTCTGTCTGTTCTATTCCCTGCTCTGTCTCTGTTGAATCATCTCACTCTCCCGCACATCTGGACTGTACCCCAGTTCTCATATGCATGGATAAATACATCTTTAAAAAAAATCTTGATTCATAAGCATTTTTCTATTTTCAATGTTTTTTTTTTTTTTACTTTTTAAACTTTTTTGTCAGAAACCAAGTCAAAAACATGCATATTTTCCTAGACTGAATAAGATCATCCGTATCACTGTTTTCCTGTTCTACATCATGTACAAATGGAGGATCTTCAGGGACAATAACTTGCATGGAACTGTCATCTCCTACAATAACAATATTTTGTCTGGAAAACTTCCTGAAGGGCCTGTCGAAGGCTCTTCTTTTTTTTAAAGATTTATTTGTTTATACAAGAACTGGGGTACAGGCCAGATGTGCAGGAGGGTGAGAGGATTCACCAGAGACAGAGTAGGGAACAGAACAGGCAGACTGACGAAATACACTGCTAAGGGGAGCAGCAGGCAAGACAGGAGAGGTCTGCTGTGCCATGTGGGAGCCTCGCTGGCTGGCGGGATCGAAACTGCAATGCAGAGGCTGTGGACAACTTCACAGTGCTGTGCTGAACCACCTGCGCCACCAGGGGAGGCCCACAAACAATGCTCTTTAAACATTTCTCTCTATTAAAGAAATTTTTTTGGTATTAGGGTCCATATTTCCAATCATTAAGGAGTTAAAAACTTCTGCTAAACCTTCACAGTGAATTTTCTTTGGCTTCTTCTATACATTTTCCTGCAGTTTATTTTTCTCTCGCCTCTGCTTTAGCTAGCTACAATTCTGTTCCAGTATCAAAAATTTCCCTTTATTAAATGCCCAGGAACCACCTCTAGGAGTTATTCATTGTCATTTTCATCCACACCAGGTTAAAGTTGTTTGTCATCTGGATCACAGCCTTATTGAACTTTGTAACCATCACATCCTTGGCAAGGCTTTTAAAATCATAGGTGAATTTCTTGAATGTCTTCCAGATGCAGCTAATATACTCCTTCATGCAATCACCCCAGCCCAAGCAAGTTTGTTGATGCAATCACAGATGCTGCCATCCTTCTAGAACTGTGTTAGTGTCTTTCCAGTGTCTTCCTCAGTTGTGGCAATAGCTTGACAGTGGTCCCCCGTAGGTTGTAGCTCTTAAAAGCTGCTATAACTCCTGTTCCATTGATGGGGTCCAAAAAATGATGTTTTGAAAGAGAAACAAAAGTTTGAATTTGGGATGAATATTACCAGTAAAAAAGGGATGTTCAGGAGTATTTTTAACCAAGAAACTTCAGGGACATATTTGCCAAATAGTTACTTCTGCATTTTGCTATTCTGGCAATTCAGGGGAACATCTTGGAAGATGAGCTGGGGCAGCCATGACTTCTTACTGCTCCTATGTGCTTATTGATATGCTGCAAGGCCTTGGGATTCTCACTGTGCCAGATCAGGAAGTTTTAATTTGTATGCTCCTAAGCAATATTATTTTCCTGTCCTTAAAAGCCTTGTAATCTGGCATTGACTTGGCTTCCTTATGGATGAAAACTCCTTTAAAGCATCTGTTTCTGGAATTGGGAGGGGAGTTATTTATACTGAAGAATTGCTATGGCAAGTAGTATTCTTCTACAGACTCATCACACAGTTTCAAAATAAGTAATAAGCAACAACTCTTGAATTTTCCAAACTACCTAGAACTAGCAGTAAATTTAACATCAGAAATCCTCGTGGTAGAATCTAGCAACTGGGTGTTTTAACAAGCACGCCAGGTGCTTCTAATGCCCACTCAAATTTGAGGGCAGCTGTGAATACTCCCTTTATAAAGGCTGGAATCTCAGCTTCCAGAGCTGCAGAAGAACCAAAACAACACTATTCTTACATTCTCAGAGGTCACTTTGAGACGGTAAGTACATAATTCCAAAATTCTGCCTGATTTTGTACATTACCATGTGTATATCTGGTTCTATTTAATACTTCCTGCCTGTAGAAGTCAACTATCAGTTTACTTTTTAAAATGCAATTGTCTTATAAAACAAACCTTCCTGACTTATCAACCTGGAACTTTAGTTTTAAATGCACTAAAGGTGGTGTTTGCAGCCATGCATATCCAGTACATGAGAGGACCTTTACTGAAAATTGAATGTTCATGTTGGCTAATAAATCCTCTGTAGTCTTGCTTTTTCTGCTCTCACCACAACAGAGGCAATATAGTCTATTTTTTTAATGCAACATAGTTATCCTTTCCTGTACACTGATATCTTAAATTGCTTTTGTAAATGTATGTATGTAAGAATTTGGTCCATTAGTGTATGTTTGTGCATGTGAGTTTGTATTTAGAGCAATACTTTAATATCCTAAATTTAGAATTATCTTTTAAAATTTTGTTGTTTACATCTGTGAAAAATTCTAACTATAAATTGTTAAACATTGTATTTATGCATTTATAGTAGACTAAATCTGTATTCCATCTATGTGAAGTTATATTCTAGGTGGTGTCTTTTTTCTGAAATGAGTTTAAGTAAATTGAATTTCCCTAGAACATAATCTATAATATTTAGTTTTTCAAAATTTTTCAGAACTTTGTAAAAGTTCAGACACAATATGTATGAATCTCTCTGTTTTCTGCCTATTTCATCGTTATATTTCTTTTGCATTTTTGCAGAATTTCCCCTTTATTAAACTTTAAACAGTTTATCATTTAAGATATTTTTAGTAGACATCTGTTTTGGAATTCTTAACTTTTTTAGTGAAGCAGCATTGTAGCATTACATAAGTTTCAGATGTGCATCATTCTAAATCATTTTCTTAATGTACTATAGTAACTTCACCATTAAAATTTGAATTTTATCCTTTATCATAAAATTAACTACTTTCACCTGATTGAATTTTCCCTTCATTGCTAGTAACCACTAATCTTTTGTTCTACAATTTTACATTTCTTTTATTTAGTTCATTCATTTGTTATGTACCACATGTGAGTTAAATCACATTTCTTCATCTGATTTATTTCACTAAACATAATACCCTCAAAGTCCATCTATATTGTCGCAAATGATGGGCTCCCCCAGTGGCACAGTGGTTGAGTGTTGGGTTGCAAAGCTGCCCACAGCCTCTGCAGTGCTAGTTCCATCCCAGGCTGCCGGGCAAGGGTCCCACAAGGCGCACTGCCGCCTGCTGCTTCCCTCAGCAGTGTACTTCGTCAGTCGTCAGTCTGCCTGCTCTGCTCTACCCTCTGGCTCTGGTGAATTCTCTCACCCTCCTGCGCTTCTGACTGTACCCAATTTGTATAAATAAAAATATTTATATTGTTGCAAATGACAGTATATCATCCTTATATGGTGAGTGTTATTCTATTTTGTACATATACCATGTTTTCTTTATCCAGTCACATTTCCATGTGTATTTGGGTTGTTTTATGACTCTTGGCTATTTTAAAGGTTGCCATGAATGTGAGGGTGCATATCTCTTTAAATTAGTGTATTTGTATTCTTTGGGTAAATACCAAAATGGAGTAGGACTTCTTTATTTAGATTTCTATTGTTTGACTTTCCTACTCTGTGTTTTGATATTTGTGCCATATTTACTTGTGCCATCAGGGAGGCCCTGTGCCATGTTTTAAGTAAGATAATTTAGTTGTCACTCATTCTTTCATGAAATTGTTTATTCTACCACTATGTTTCTATTTCCCTCTGAGTATCACCTTATCTTATCATATAGTTTTGGAACATAGTGTTTGCATTTTTAGATTTGATTCCAGCTTCTATTTTTTAATTGTTATTTTTATTGAGGTAACAGTTTACAAAACTTATGTGTTTAGGGGAATTGTCTTTAATAAAGAAGAAGTATATAGCAATATTTTCAGAGACTTCAGTAAGGCACATTTAGTCTATGGCAGTTTTGTAGGTCAGAAAATGGATACAGGCCTCACTAGACTGAAATCAAAGTATCAGAAAGGTGGCCTGCCTTTTCGAACTCTCTAAGGGAGGTTCCTTTTTTCTTGCCTTTTCCAGCTTCTGTCAGCAGGTCACATTGCTAGTTTCTGACTCCCTCCATGTTTTTTAAGATTTATTTATTTATTTATACAAGAACCTGGGTATAGGCCAGATGCGTGGGAGTGTGAGAGGATTCACCAGAGACAGAGCCGGGAACAGGACAGGCAGATGACCAAAATACACTGCTGAGGGGAGCAGCGGGTGAGACAGGAGAGGTCTGCAGCGACATGTGGGACCCTCGCCGGCAGGCCGGGATTGAACCCGCCCTGCAGAGGCTGTGGATAGCTTCACAGCACTGCGCTCAACTGCCTGCACCACCGGGGGAGGCCCTGACTCCCTCCATTTTTAAAATCAACAACATGAGTCCTTCTCACAAATGCCATCTCTGTTACTTTGCAGCTGAAAAATATTCTCTGCTATTGAGAGCTAATGTCATTAGATTGGATCCAACTGGATACTCTAGGGTTCTCAGAGTCTTTAACCTTAATCACATTGGTATAGTCTCTTTTTTCTTATAAAATTCTAGGTGCCAGATTCCAGGGATTTTGGTATAGCTGTTTGTGGGAATCATTATTCTGCCTGCCACACTTTTTCATTATTATTCTTTGACAGATGATATGTGTGAATGAGTATGAAAATACGATCTTGATTGAGGGTCCAAACTTTTAAATACTTCCAACTCATCAAAATAACATACTGATCACCTAAATTCTCAATGAAGCAATCTACAAGTTAAATGGCATAAAAGTTACATTGCAAACATTTTAACTGAAACCAATATAAGTTAATTCTTTGTGTACCTGACATTGAAGCATGGTTCCCTGATCACACATTTCTTTTGTTGTTCTCAGAGAAGAGACAAGCCAGGCTTATGGCAGGGACACAATATATGAAAGAGAACAGCTGCGTGAGAGGTGGGGAACTTCATATTTTATTTCATATTTTATTTAAGTAACTAGATTTTATTTTTGAATAAGCAATATTTTATTATTGAAGTAACATTGTTTTTAACATTGTTTCAAGTGTGCATGATTAAAAATCAGCATCTATATATCATAGCAAGCTCACCAGCAATATATTTTGTTTGTAGTAGCTTTATTTGAAATAGTGTCAAATTTAAAATCAGATCCACTGTGTAATAGATAAAACCTGTAGCACATGGCAAAAATGGAGTATGCCTCCGCAATAAAAAATAGGAACAAACTATGGAAGATAGTAATTTTTTTTTCATTTTCAAATTCTATTTTTGCAGTAGAAGCATATATTATCTATAGTTCATTTATATTAAATTGCTGAATATGGGGAGCTTAAATTTATGGCATAATTAATAGTAATTATTATGAAAAATGTATTGGCATAAAAGAAAATGCATTCCGTTTTAAAAAGAGATGGCAATTCAACTAAATCTAAGTTAATTTTAATTCCCCTGTATATTTAAATGTTTTTTATTAACTTGGTCAGTGATGTATAAATATTGCTGCTTCTAAGTTCTTTAATGAAACTTTCTCATTGATTCTTTTAAAAATATATCACAGCTTAGATAAAACTGGAATCAATTATACTTCACATATGATATATTCTTATCACAACTTTTATTTACTCAATCATAAATTTCTAAACAAGTATCACTATGTCAGGTTTCTTGTTACTACAAAATTTTCTTGAGTTACATCTTCAAATACTTTTTTTTAATTTAAGTCTTTTATTAACTTTATCTTGTTTCAGTTTTATTGATTTTTTTTTTGTTGCTATCCTAGCTCCGTTTATTACAATGACTAATTTCTTTGATTTTCTAATTTTTCTTAATTTGCAATTTTCTCTATCACTACCTGATTCTTCCAATTAGTTAATGATCTCCTTTAATTGACTTTCCATTTCCCCCTGTGTTTTCCATTTTACTCTATGCTCTTCTTACAGAAGTAAGACTTCATTTATTATTTATGTAGCACACCCTTTCCAACTGAAACTGCCAGTAGTTTCTGAAGTTTGTCTTCATTTTAATTTGTATTTCATATTAATAATTTATTTTTAATTCACTTATTGATGAGTTTTATTTGCATATCATTTAAATAAAATTACTTCTTTTGGTAGAAAAAAGTGGTCATCTTTGTATTAAAATCTTTGGAAGTGAGGAGATTCATTTGAATCTCAGACATTGCTATCTATACTTTTACAGAATTAGACTTTTTCCTGCAATCATAGTTTATGTTGTTGTTGTTTTAGTCCTGGTTATATATTTTTGGTCTAAAAAGATACAGAAAGTTTTCATTCATCAAGCCTTCTCAACTCTTATCCTAGCAAGTATCTTTGCAAATGCAGGCTAGTTCTGCCCTTCATTGTAGGCTGCTCTTCTTAACAGCACTTTGGCTGCTGTTTTTGACAAGCTCAGTGACAGATCTTTCTTCAAAATGGCAAGTACTTTTTTCAGTTCTTTCAAAATTCTTGCCCACTTTCAATTCAAAAAGCATTTCAGCCCATTTTTCATTTGTGATAGTGTCTTGTCAGTTTGTTGTATTGAACATGTAATTTGTGGGGTTTTTCCCATTCATTTTGGATTTGTTTGATTTTCAAGAGGGGGGCAGATGATGACTTATGTCATTATACTAGTACATTTGAATAAGGAGATGGAGCAAAATGTTTAATATCATTACCCTCTAATCCATATAAGAGATTGTTAGAGTCAACTATTATTGAATGGGGTATTTTTATTAAAATTATTTGTGATTTTTTTAAAATAAGAGATCAGAGAAATCTGAAAACTAGGTATGTTTATGTTACAGAAGGAAATTGACAGAAGCCCAGTGGAATATATATAGTAAATGAAATGGTGAAAAGGTAGAATTTAAAACTTTAGATTTATTATGTAAATGTTTCCACTGGCAGAATTTTAGAATAGCTGATAAAATAGATGGTGTGGCAACACATTGGAAGGAAAATGACATCTGGAAGGCAAACAGCACATTTAAATTCACATAATACCAAGATGATTTTATTTCATTTATATGTTTATTAGATTGTTGTCTATGAAGTATTTTATCATAACATTTCATTCTAGGAAAATATATGATAGTTCATTTATATATAGTAGTTGCATAATGAGTAATTGTAACTGGAGTGTTGATAAATCTATTGTTATAAACCTGGAGAAAGGACTCTAAGTTTATGATACTAGATTTCATTACTGACTTTATGCTATTTAACATATTTATTGATGCCTTGTAGAATATAAAATTTAATTCAGAAATCTAAACATTCTTTTCAATAACTAATATATACTAAAATTAGAATTCCAAATTGTCTCAAGATCCAACTCATATGAGTTTACAAGTAATATCAACACATTAAAGCATTAATTTCCAAATTTAAATTGTGTTTGAACTGAAAAACAGATTTGAAAGAAGGTATTTGTGGTCCAAAATAGCTGGAATCCCACTTGAACCTCCTGAATCATAGGGTTTGAGAATTATCAATTTTAATGTAGCCAAACCTTAGTGTACTGTTAGTTGGGTGTCAGCTGGGAGGGAGGAACCCTACCATATAAATGATTTATCTCACAATATCTGGAGTAAATTTCAAACTGTTAAATGTACTTTTCATGTGTACAAAGTGCAGACTTTGTACTAAGATTACCGGGGCCTGAAACCTGGTCCTGCTGCTTCATAATTTTATGACTCAAGGCCATTTTGAGGGGTCTATCACTCAAATTCTCATATGCAAATTAAATTGACATTTATCTCGTAGGTATCTCATAGATAGATAGCATAGATTAATTAGGTAAATGATATAGATATATGGTAATGTATATTTTAATATATAACATATTACTATAGGTAATGTATTGAATATAGTATTATATAAATTAGTCTATTCCCTTACAATTAAACAATAAATATTAACTGTATTAATATCATAATTAACTATGAAATTTGAAGTTGGGAAAAATAAATACAAAACTAACTAGTTTGAGGGCCTCCCCAGTGGTGCATCAGGTTGAAAGCAGCACTGTGAAGCTGTCCGCAGCCTCTGCAGCACAGGTTCAATTCCCAGCTGGCCAGGGAGATTCCCAGATGGCATGGCAGACCTCTCCTGTCTGTTCCTCTCTGCTCTGCTTTCAGTCCGTCTTCCTGTTCTGTTCCTCACTCTGTCTCTGCTGAATCCTCTTATCCTCCCATGCCTCTGGCCTGTACCCCAGCTATTGTATAAATAATAAAGGAAAAAAAAACTAGTTTGAGAAATCTATAAATGTTCTCATATAGCAATCCAATTAAATCTAGGAAGACTGGTTTTATGTGTAGTATTCAACTTACAATTTTAATAATTCTAGGGAAAATAAGTTATAAAATTATGGATTGTAAAATAAATTTGAAGTGGTATGGCAGCTCTAATATGCTATATCCATGGTAATGTTATTATTTTTTAATTACCATGAAATTGCAGATGGAGTACATTAAAAACATATAGATACTTTGTAACAATACTTATACCAGCACAATTTTTTATGCAATGTATAAATATGTATGTATTACATAAATAAGTGATCAACAACATTTTTAAATTCCTCAAATTTTTACAGTCATAGAAATTGACTTCTCCCATCTCTGGTTAACCTCATTTGTTCACTTGTGAATTTTGATTTCCTTACATTTTTCTTTCTTTAATATGTAAGGAAAATGTTAAGGGGGATGTTGTAGTTAGTGAAAGGAGTTTTGACAGAAGGTTTATGTTGCCTTAAGCTGTCTAATTTTCCATTGGAGGGCTATATAGTATGCCCAAACAAAGAAGTTCCGGTGTTTTACAACTTTTAATGTAAAGTTTTTGTATATTTCCAACTTGTAAATTATCTTTAATTTTTTTCTGTAAATACACTCTTTCTTTCCTGTTACTTTTATTAATACACATTTATCACTCTCAAAAAAAGTAAACATTCTTTAGGTGTTAGGTTAACAAATATATTGTAAAGCAACATCATATTTCATAAACAGCATTTTGTCTCACTAAAATACTTTTTAAAATATAATTTGATGTAATATTTTGATCCAATTCTCCAAAAGAAAATATTTAATCACAAATGAAGATTTTGCCAAGGTTTAGACACATTTCCTTGCTTTTAATAAACAGATGGTGGCTATTAATTGTTATTCTGTTAAGTCATACTAATATAGCATCACTTATTATTCAGGTGCCAGATATGTCTTTGACAGATGGAACATCAAGAGTAGCTAATGTTGAAGGATATGAGCATTGCAAGCATGATACTAACGTGTTAACTGTGACATTGGCATTTGGAACTATAGAAGTCATCTTGGCAGGACCAGAGGTGCTGCAGAACCTGGCTGATTGTCTATGGCCAAACAAACACATGGCTGTCAGTCATATCATTATTTGGAAGGGCAGTATATTCAAAACTTAGAAACTGGCCACTGTACATGTCTATTTAAACCCGAATCTCAATTTTGTCAAGTCCATATGCTTTATTCTGTTTGCCTTGTTGTTCATGTAACATTTAAGATAAGAGGACATCTGTTAGCTTTGGCTCAGAATGGTACATGGACTTATTCTCAGTCACTCTGTACTTGAAACAATTTTCTACTAACAACACAAGTTTTTCAGGATGCTGCAAGTCTACTCAGTCATTTCATATAATTCACTGTTTGAAAGAACTTTTTTTTTTAATGATTTTTAGTGGACTGTTCAGAGTTACAATTGCAGGTTGTTTCCTCTGTGAAATCTCTGAACAAAATGGCCTTAAGCATGCTCCAAGAACAAGCTGCTCTTTGGCATAAGTCATTTGACATTCATCCTACTTCCTTGAAGCTCGATTCATCTGGACTGTGACATCTCACTGAATTTAGCCAGAAGCTAGAGAATTTGCCTTCTAGCATTTTTTTTATGCACCTCCTGGACCTGGATGTAG